AGAGGATCTGGGTTTGAAAACTTTCCATCAAAACTGCTTTTTGACAGAAAATTGGGTATTTGATTAAACACATTTTTCTTTGCACTGTTTGCTTTATGTGGAAAATTTTGAATTTTCATTGAAATATTCAGCTGAAAACTAAAATATTTTGATTTCGAAATGCAGTTGTGGGCCAAATGGGTGGTGTTTGGTTTTCTCATGTGCAGGGCTGGATTTTCACCTTGCATGCCCCTAGGAAGAGTCCGCACACCTTCCCTGGTGTCTGGGCAGCCGCGGGGCCTCCTGGCTCCGAGCTCTGCCCCCTCCCCCACAGGGGTTCGGAGCTCCAAAGTCTCCTGCCACCCGTGACTTGGCGCTCCGGGGCCCCCCACTGCCTGTGGAGGCTGGGATCAGTGGGGCTCTCCCCCCACGGCAGCCAGGAGCAGCAGGGTCCCCCCACCATTTGTGGCAGCTTGGAGATCTGGGGCCCCCGTAGCCAGGCAGCATCCGGAAGCTGTGGGGTGATCCCCAGCCACTGGCAGCAGTTGGGAGCTGTGGCAGATTAGCCACTGGGCTAATTGGGCTGATGCCCAGGGGTCCTAGTCAACTGGGGGTCCCTGGAAAAATGGGCTCTCCGGTGTCCTGACCTATTCTGCTGGCTGCCATGGTGCTCCTGCCCGGGAGCTAGGTCAGGGTGTAGTGGGCTTACCCCACTTACCCCACCCACCCGGCGCTCTTGATGGGGAGTGAGAGAAGCCCCCCGCACACTGACCCCTCTCCCCAGCAGGAGTAGCGGGGCAGGGGAGGGGGGATGCAGGGCAAGCCCCTGTGCTCTGACCCCATTTCCCCAGCAGGAGTGGGGGGGGAGGGACTGCAGGTGTAAGGGGTGGGGAGTGTCCCCCACTTGCTCTGGCCCAGAGCCCCACAAACCCCTTATCCGCCTCTGGCTGGTAGCTCCAGGGGTCTCCACTGCCTGGCGGCAGACAAAAACTGTGGGGTACCCCCACAATGGCTCGGAGCTCCTAACCATTGTGGGCAGTGTGGGTACTGCCACTTTTACTTTTAGGCATCCCGCCACCCAACCCCCTCCACCACAGACCCCGCACTGCCCCAACACACTCATACCTCCTGCACCCCTCACTGCCCAGCGCCCCTCTACAACCCCCCCACTACCCAGAGCCTCTCCACAACCCCCCCCAGAGACCTGCTCTGCCCCCCGTCTGCACTCACCAGCCCCACTGGGAGGTGGCTGTGTCTGCTGGGCTGAGTGAGGAGCGATCCAGCAGGGCTGCATGGGGCCGTCTCTTGCTCAGCCGACTCTGGCCCCACCCCTGCTGGGACCTGGGAGTGACAAAAAACTTTTAGGTGCCCCTAGTCACATGCCTACTGTGCCTAATGGGAAATCCAGCCTTGCTCATGTGCCCATTCTTCTCTATAGCCTGGGTTCCCCAGCTAGACTACTTCTCCCATGATGCACCATGGCCAGGATGCAACAGCCGCCTGACACCATGAGGTGAGACCACGATGCATCATGGGTTAGGTAGTCTGCCCAGGGAACTCAGTCCATAGCGGGAGCATGTGACATCCAAACTACAACTCTATGGCAGCATTTCTAATCAAGATGTTTTGGTTTTCGATTTTTCACGGGAAATTCAAAATTTTCAGCAGCAAAAAAAGCCCATTTTCAGACCAGCTTTAGTCTGGAGTCCTCACCCCACTCTAAGCCATGGAAGGACCTTTTCACTGGAGCTGGCATTGCCCTTATCTAGTGTGACGAGGTACAGCACAACCCACTCACTGCACCTCAGACCCTCAAGCATCTGGGCCAGCCTCTGTCACAGCAGAGAACCGTTTGAGTCTTTGGCTCTCTCAGGCCAGGTCTCTGCTAGGAGTGCACTGTCGGGATAGCTGCACCATGTACTGTACAGGCAAAGCACGTCTCGTGTGGTTGCAGCTTATACTGGCAAAATTGTGCCTTTTCCAGTACAGCTTATTCCAGCCCCCTCCCTCAGTAAAATAAGCTTTCCTGGCAAAAATCTTATGCCTCAAATCAAGGTTGGATGTTTTTTCTGAAAGATTTGCTCTGGGGATTATTTTGGGGAAGGTCTATGGCCTGTGTCATCCAGGAAGCCAGACTGGCTGGTCGCAGTGGTCCCTTCTGGCCATGGAATTTGCGGATCTATGAAAGTTCCCCTCTCCATGTTCAGTCGACTCACAGTCCTTCCCTGGCCATACCCCTGACAGGGGTCACTGCCTTCCCCAAAGGGGGATCCAACTCCTGCAGCTCCAGAAGCAGAGCTTTATTTGTGGGGAAAGCCAGGGAAATTCCTCTCTGAGCGATCTCTTAACATTAAGTAACTTCCCAGCCTGGGTAACCATAGTCGCTGCCCTACAGTACCCTGCATTCCACAGCCATCTGGGTTCTATTCAGTAGGGAGCCTCCACTTCCCCCATCCCTCTGGCTGTTCCTGGACTAGGATTCTGGCAGGGGTGGGGGGAGAGTGATGTTTTACAGGGCAGCGTGAAGTGTTTGTGTGCAGGTGGAGTGAACAGGTTGGAGGCAGGAGAGAGCACAAATGCTCTCAGGAGAATTCTCCAGGCTCACTGACTTCCTTCCTCCTTTGTAGATCGCTGCGTGGACTTTCTGAATCACTCTAACGTGGAGAACTGGACAGCGCCTGCTAATGCCACCTCCCCAGTTACTGAGTTCTGGGAGTACGTACCCCGGTTTCACACTCTTCTCTCCTCAAGCGGTCACAGCAGTGTGAATACTCCAAATGGAGTCTCTGTAAAGCCAAAAAAGATGTGCAAGTGCCACATCTCGGAGCCCAGACCTATGGCACATCGCACATCATGGGGCACATGAGCACACTCACTGCACATGCAAACTTGCATACTGACTGGGCACGCTGACTGACAGAAAGCCATGGGGCACATGGGCACTCCCAAGACACACGCTGTCTCACCCCATGCACCACACAGCCCCAGAGGTCGGATATTGACCCTTACCGAGAACGCATGCACATACGCACACGGACATATTCTTTCTGACATGGCAGATACACTCAGCACCCGCAGGTTGTGGATACACAGGGCCTGACCACATGTTGGTAGGGCCGCCCTGACAGACACCCAGCGGGCACGCATGTACGCACACCAAGTGTGATGATCTATCTAGAGTAGGTGACCAGATAGAAAGTGTGAAAAATCGGATCAGGGGATGGGGGGTATTAGGCACCTACATAAGAAAAAGCCACGAATATCGGGACTGTCCCTATAAAATCAGGACATCTGGTCACCCTAATCTAGAGCAGGAGGCCAGGTGGGAGGGGGCTGGAAGAGATTCTGCAAAGATGCTCTGCGGTGAAGCAGGAAGAGACAATGTAGCTTTCCCCCTTATTCTAATTGAGTTCCTTGTTCAGTGTTCGAGGAAAGCAACTTTTTCTGTGATTCTTTACTGCTGTGTACCTAATGCACCCCGTGAAAACACCCAGAGGGCAAACAGACATAGCACCCGAGAGGAGTCCTGAAAGGAGAAATGCTGCAGAAAACACTGTAGGGAATCATCCAGCACTGGCCCTCAGGGGGTGTGAACAATATGGAAGTTGTAATTCTAAGGACTCACACTCACAACTGTGCCCCCTCCCAATCTAGGGAAGTCACGGGAAGCAAGTGGGAATCAGGGGCTCAATCACAATAGCACGTTTTCATCCATCGCTTTCAAAGTGCTTTGGAAAGGTGATCAGTATCCATTATCCCACTTAGCCTGTCTGGATATGTCTACACAGCAACTAGACACTCACGGCTGGCCTGTGCCAGGCGACTCAGGCTTGCGGGGCTGTTTGATTGCTGTGTAGACGTCCAGGCTTGGGCTGGAGCCTGGGTTCTAGAACCCTGCCGGGTGGGAGGGTCCCTGATTCTGGGCTCCAGCCCGAGCTCAGGAATCTACAATGCAGTGAAACAGCCCCGCAGCCCAACCCCCGTGAGCCTAGGTCAGCTGGCACGGGCCAGCTGCGGGTTTTTCTTTGCTGTGTCTCAGCTTCCCCATTGGTGAAGTGACTTGTCGAATGCCACAGGATGAGCCAGAGGAAGAGTTGGGACTTCAGTGTCAGGCTCCTGTGCCCTGAGACCATCCACCAATAGCTCCAAAAACCATTGTGATTTCAGTACAACGTTGCCGGCTACAAGGGAGCCCCTAGAGTTCGGGGGTGAGGGGGTGTTTGGCTGGGAGTACATAGAGTTGTCATAGATATTAGGGTAGTGAGAGGCTGCAGGGGAAGTGTCTGGACATGGTGCTCAGTTCTCACATGGTCCCTGTTACGCTATGTCGACACTATGAACGGGGCTGTGTGGTCCCAGCTCTTCTAGATATACTGATGTCAGCTCTCATCTGAGCTAGCGTGCGTAAAATAGTAGAAATAGTAGTGTAGCCATGGTAACATGGGCAGAGACAGCACCGTGCTAGATGCCCTGAGTAAAACCTCCTTATCTCCATGGGTACGTAGTGGGGACTGCTAGCACAAGCCACCCCTGCCCATGCTACCACGGCTACACTGCTATTGTCAGTGTGCTAACTCAGGTGAGTGTGAGGGCAAGTATGGCTGGGTGAAGTGGGACTCCCCCCCTCCCCCGGCTCATCAAGTAGACATAGCCTTAGGGAGCCTGGGTGCTGAGGGGAACCTGTAGGGATGAATGAGGGCCATAACCATAAGGGTTCCTGGAGAGAGCCATAGAACATGGGATGTTTGGAGGAAACAAAGTAGCCAGCAGGTGATTAGGAGCCATTGATGATACCAGGAGGCTGCAGGGGAGGCTGCTGATGGAGTGTGGCCTGCGAGGCAGCCAAAGGGATGGCAGTGATATGAGATCGGGAGTGACTGTGCTGTGAATGGTTGGGGGCTGCAGTGGGGCTATTGAGGGCTTTGGGAGAGTTGGAGAGCCCAGGCTGACTAAAGGGTGAGGTGGAACTGCAGGGGCCAGGCTGCAAGGGGATCCCAGAGACACCTAAGGCATTGTGGTGACCAAGAATACAGTATTGCTGTCAGGGCTAGGGTGACTGGAAGGAGGAGTGATGGGGGAGATTGGGCAGCTGCGCTATGGGATGTATATGAAAACTCTGGGCGGGGGGCTGCTGGAAGAGTCAAGTCTGGGATGTTAACCTTTCTCTCTCCTCCTGCACTGGCAGGAAGCGAGCCCTGGGGCTCACAGACGGTATTCACAATCTGGGCACTGTGCGCTGGGAGCTGGCTCTCTGCCTCCTGCTCGCCTGGGTCATCTGCTACTTCTGCATCTGGAAAGGAGTCAAGTCCACAGGCAAAGTAAGAGCAAAGTCTGTCCCCTTAGTCCCTAAACCTCCTCCTAGCTGCCATTATATCTCTTTCCCCCCTTCTTAGCCTTCTCCAGGATACCGAGAGAGAAGAAAGGAGGCAGGGAACACACAAGACATAGGGCCATACTCAGATTGGCATGCGTGGGTGCAACTGCATTGAAGTCACAGCTGCTTACGCTGGGTCTGAATTTAGTCCATTATGAGAAGAGCAAAGAAAGTCAGTCAATCAGAGGGGAGACAAGGGAAAGATCTTAGAAGAAATGGTGAAATCCTAGCCCAGCATGGTCCACTGTAACGGGGAAACCTTGTGAAAGACGCTGCTTCGCCATTAGCACCACACGATCATCCAGTTGCTGCTGATGCACAGTCCCCACGTGGTCTGGTGGCTTTTGCAACATTAGCCTGTTTTAGTGTCAAATCTCCAATCACCAATAAGAATTAAACACCAGAGCAGAGTGAATATCCCACTAGAAATAATCTCCTTAGGGGTTCATTGCGGTTACCTCCCACTTTCTCATTATTTGTAATTGCTCAGTTTGGGGGTTTTTCTGTCTTTTTTCTTTAACTCAATGGATTGCTCACAAACAGGGCACTGCTGTGAGCATTCCACACTCGATACTGAAAATTTGAGCTGGGCTGGCTGGTTGTGATTGCATAAGTCACAGGTTATTGTTTCTATTCCTGGATTGGATGAGCATAACATATTTCACATGGGAGGCTTAAAGAAGCCACTCAGGCTTCAATGGTGCAGGGCTGAAGTATAACCCCCTGAGCAGCGGTGAGGGTGGGTTATACTACTCAGGGTTGGTCTTGCACATTTCTAGAGGACCTGTGACAATCGCTGAGGGGTGAGTGGCCAGTTTCTTCAATCCCCTTCTTCCATAAAAGATGTTTCCCGCTATTTGCTCTCTCTCCATCCATGAAGCTCCCATCACTCTCACCTTTTCCTGGTACAGGTATTGGGACGCATCCTTCACAATAGACACATCTCTTTAGTTCTGCGTCAGTGAGCTGCTGAGTCCACAGGGCTGTCTTCATCTCCCATATTTACAACCTTTTTACCACTGTGCTCCTTGGCTCAACTCTCAGATGGGACGGTGTGGAGCCTGCAAGACTCTTTGCCTTTAATGGAAATGTACTGAGTTGCTCTCTCCTGCTTGCTGCATATGTGTGGAGACACAGGGGACTCAATTAATATCCATGTCTCCTCCCCACTCTTCTCTCTTTGCACTTCAGAAAACAATCAAATACTGAAGGGTAAACATGCGGATTTAAAAAGATACTTTAAAATGATGTTGAAAAATTGGAAAGGATTTAGAAGAGCTACAAGAATGATCGGATGCCTGGAAAATCTGTCTTGCAGTTAAAGCCAACCTGGAAACGGTTTTCCTGTCCTGTGGAAACTTTTGAGATTTCAAAAACCGTTTCCCATTCTGAATCAGGACAAAAGGTCAAAATATTAAAAATTTTCACAAACTGAAAATAAAAATAAATAAATAAATAAATTCAATTTGGGTCAATTATTTTGCAATGTTTCATTTCTATTACAAGTTTTCAACTTTGTTTTTTTACTTCCTTTAGTTTAGTTTTCTAAACCTAAAATTGTTTTGAACTGGTAAGCCAGAATTTGTCACGTTGGCAATTTTGAAACTTTATATACAAAACATTTTGAGTACCGATTTGTGGAAACCGAACGTGTTCCATTAAAAGTTTTGGTTTTGACAAATCTGCATATTTTGATGGGCAAAAATAGTTTGATCAAAATTTTTCCAACCATATCTGCTGACAGTGAGAGACTAAAGAAAGTTCAATCTATTTATCTTAACAAAGAAAATGTTAAGAGGCGACTTGATCAGTCATAAGTATTTACATGGGCAGAATATTTCTGACAATAGATGGCTCCTTAATCTAGCAAAGTCCCACAGTTGGCAGCTGAAGTTTGACCAATTCAGGCTAGAAATAAGGTGCAAATGTTTAACAGTGAGAGTAATTAACCATAGGAGCAATTTACCTAGGAATGTGGTGGATTCTCCATCATTCCAAGTCTTTAAATCAAGCCTAGATGTTTTTCTACAATAAATGTTCAAGCTCAGTCAGAAGTTATGGGCTTAATGCAGAAATTGCTGTGTGAAATTCTATGGACTGTGCTATCCATGAGGTCAGATTAGATGATCATAATGGTCCTTTCTGCCTTAAAATCTAATAATCTGATGGGATGCTGTCAAGTAATTTAACTGTTCTGCTCTGTTTCTTACCGCCAGAAAAAGTTGTGCTTTGACATATTATGAACAAGCAGTAGAGAGATCACAGAACCTCTTAAGAAGAACATACCTTGGTTTAATATTTGCAGTGGTGTAAGATTATTTTCAGAGATCAACTACAGAACTTTGTAGTCAATGGGAAGTCAACTCTTGACTGAAAGTTAATTTTTAATAGTCGACACTAAAAGGCCCGGTACTAGATCCTAGAGCTGGGAGAATAATTCATATGAAAAGTCTGAATGAGTAGTTTTTTAAAACCAGTTCACTTTGGCCACCTTTGTGTTTTCCTTTTGTGTTTACTTTCCTCATACTTCAAATAAATCTGGTTTACTAGCATAAATGTTCACAAAAAGTGAATTTCAGAGACAAATTTCAGTACCAGCAGTGCTTGTGTGCTCCTCCAATCGGGGAACAGAAACAGTACGATCTGACTTATTTGACCAATCACAGTCAAATAACACAGTTTGATGTTTGAATATTTGCGATCAATCAATAGTGTGAACAAAGATTCAAAAGGATATTATTTGAGTGAATCTGAATAATGAATACATTTAGGGAAATTGCAGCTTGCTCACTGATATTCAATTGCATAAGCAGAAAAATGGGCTTGACGAATGATTCATTCTGCTCAAACCGTTCCCTAAACCAATGCATTTCATTTCCCACACAAAAGAGAGGACAGGAGGGCTTTACAAAACTGTGGTCAAGGCTTTCAAAAATATGTCAAGATTTTGGGGGCTCTCAAATTCAAGTTGAGATGCCTTAAAGAGGCTGAATTTTTCAGTGTGGTGAACAATCACGCTTTGAAAATCAGGCCTCTGCCGGGTGTCTCAAATTGCTGCCTTGTCCTCCTCAAATTCACTGCTCACTTTTGGAAATCTTGGCCATGAATAGAAATATTTTCATGACCTTTAATTAGAATTCAGTGAAAGCAGAGGCTTTGGGGATTTAAAGACTCAGGTGTTGTTAATAATAGAGTTAGGGGATTTGCTTTGGATGTATAATCTGTAGGGTGACAACATCCCCTTTTTATCCTTCTCTCTGCTTCCAGGTTGTTTACTTCACTGCCACATTTCCCTACGTGATGCTTTTTGTCTTGCTGATTCGAGGGGTCACCCTGCCTGGTGCTGCTGAGGGGATCATGTTCTACCTGAGACCAGACATTTCCAGGCTTGCAGATGCACAGGTGAGTGAATACAGCCTGATACTGTGAGGTGTGGAGAGACTCCAACAAAGTGGTGACGGGAAAAGCAGGGGTTCAGCACCTCACAGGATCAGGCCTTAATTGGCTGCTATCTAGATCAGGTTGGACTTCCCTCCCCTAAGAGACCGACAAAATACTGCGGCCTCTTTAAAAGGGTTGATGGGGGAATCTCAGCCCAGCACAAATATAGTCTTTTTGTCAGGGTATTTTAAACATATGGATGTGTTAGGTCATTGCCATTTAGGGGCTTGGCAAATGCAGAAGCATCTATGAAATATTCAGTGTACGACAGATGGTTTTGTTGAGCCTTAAGTGAAATGACGTTGAACAAAAGGAGAAAAAACCCTCTCGCTTCCTGCTCTCTGGCCCAGCTTGCGCTTTTCTTGGAAGAGGCTGGAGCTTCCTCAGGGAGACGAGCTTCCTACTATAAGACAAACTGCAGTAGGTGTGTAGGTAACTATTGGAGATACAAATGGTCAGTTTTATAAACAAGAGCCCCTTTATTCTGAGATTCGGCATTTCTGGCATTTGCTGTGAAATCAGCACCTTCTTGCAGAATTGTGCTCCAGAATCTCGGCTTTAATTTAAAAAACATTATGTTTCTAGCCCTTATCCGTATGGGGTGGGGGTGGGTGGGAAGCTTGAAACTGTGCAACTTGCATTCAGTGTTAGTTCCCTGAGTTTGCAGATCTCCAAACTATTGTTCCATGCATCCCAATGGGGTGTTAATTCTGAGACCTAACGGAGGGTATTTAAACGTTAATTATTTCACTGCTGATTATTGTAGCAGAAGCAATCAGCTAATGTGCTTTTCCCACAATCTCAAACTGTCTCCCACATCTTCCCGGATGTCAAAAGACCCAATTGCTCCCTACCCAGCTGCTTACACCTCCAGCTTCCCCCGATGACTTTCAGATGTAGTTATGTCTTGTCAACACAAAAATTGGTGACATGCTGAAAACATGGAGACAGCTTAACTTAAATGGAATTTTAATATGAAAATAAACAACACAGGGGCTGAGTGTCTTATTCGTGTTCAGTTAATTCATTAAAAGCCTCCATTTTCTAATCTAAATGAAGTTGATATGGAATTTCTGATCTGCCACGTGGGAGAGCTGCAGGAGCCAGACACCTTGCTGCAGAATTTGAGTCCAGTTTGTTGTGGATTAGGTTGGACCTTGATTATAATGGTGTGGGGGAGTTTCCTGGGTGAATCTGTAGGTCTGGATCCATGAGGGATCTCAGTTAATTCAAACAGCAGTGGTTGGCTGCGAGTATTTGAAGGCCTGCCAATTTGCAGCCACTTGGAAGCCTGCTGGGCACCGTTTAGGGGACAGCAAGGATACTGGACAAGGTGTTCCTTCCTGGCTGTTAACTTGCTACTAATATCCTTCCCTGGCTGTGTGGAAGATTCTGAGCACTGCAGCCCATCTTTGTGGCTCTGTATACTAGCATCACACTGTGTGAGAGAAAGTGCTATCAATACACTGAAGTGGTGGAGGAGCCAGCAGCTGAAGGCTGAAATAAACAACAAACTCTGCTGCTCTGGATGGGTGCTGGGATGAGTTAATGGTGGTGATGAGATACTATGAACCCAACATCTCCTGGCTGCTCCCGTTGTCCTGATCTTCATCCACCCTCATGTGTAGGGAATACCAGGTGGTGTGGTGTCACATAAAGGTTTTATTGGCACTTGTTTGGGATGGCTTTGTGAGATACTCATGGCTTTTTCACTCCCAAGCAGCTAAGTGATCTCCAACTTGTGCTGGCACAGTCTTTATACCATGCCACATCCCCATGCACCCTCTCTGTACATTCTCCGGGCACTTTAGCTTAGAAAAAATGAATGGTGTTTGGGATTGATCTAGCCCCCTGAATCACTGCCTCGGAGGAACGATGATGACAGCCCTCTTGGAATATGCCTTCCATCAGGGTAGCTGGTGAAGGACAGATTATGCAACTGACACCCTAGGGCAGGGATAGTCAATTATTTTTTGTCAAGGTCCAAATTTCTTGGTCAAGGTATAGTCCAGGTCCAGACTCCGAGAAATATTTTCACACCTCAATAATAATAATGATGATAATAAGCAAATACAAAGATTTTGTGGTTCGTTCGAAAGTGTCTGGCAGTCCAGATTTGGCCCACGGTCTGCCTATTGACTGCCCCTATCTGAGGGCTTAAAAATCACTCTCCCTTCCCCACTCAGATCCATTCTTCCTTGGATTATTTGAGAGAAGCCATTGGGGTCCAGAAGGAAAATCCTCCCTTTTCATGGTGGACTCTTCACTCCAGTCCTCCAAGCTGGGACAATCAATCCAGAGACATGTCACACCCTGTATGGATTCTTCCCTTCTCTGCCTGATGTGGATTTCTCCATGTCTGACAGACTGCTGCTCTGAAGTGTGTGTACCCTGACAGGACTTTACCATTTATTTCCTTAGCCGTGGCTGGAAATCACTGTCCTTTTCTGTTCTAGGTGTGGATGGATGCAGGCACTCAGATCTTCTTCTCTTATGCGATCTGCCAGGGGTGCCTGACAGCCTTGGGCAGCTACAACAAATACAATAACAACTGTTACAGGTAGGAGCAGCCTGTGCCTCTCTCTCCCTCTCACATCCGGCTGAGAGCCGTGTGGGCAGCTGAGCAGAATGTAGTTGGAGCTGTGGCACTCACTGCCTCGAAATCACGTGTGGGGCCCACGTCATTTCGTCCTATGCTCTTGTCAGCTCTTGCAAGCTAAGTAGGGCTCAGCGACTGGGTAGGAGACTGCCCAGGAAAACCCAGGGGCTACAAGAAATGCCTTTGGTGACTCTGCTGGTGGCACTCTTCCATCTGGGCAGGGAGAGGGGGCACGGGAGTCCTGGAGGTGCCATTGTTGAGTTGATATGGGTATTGTAAAATGTTATCTGATGTGGAAATAAGATTTAGTAATGCATGTGGCCAAATTCAGTTCAGTTACCTGGGTCTGATCTCGGGGGAATTACACCAGATTCCCAGTGGTCTAAAGAAGAGGAGAATCTGCCCCATAGCATCAAATGCCTTATTAAAATCCCAGCCCCTTTAGTGGACCCTGTGTGTGTTTTAATTCGATCAGAAAGAGCAACAGAAAGGTTTGTCTGGCATGACAGGTTCTTTTTCATCCAGTGCTTATTGCGTCTAGTTCCCTTTTCTT